GGGCCGGGTTTACCCCCCCCCCCCCCCCCCAATTTCTCAGGCAAAAACTACCCTCAAAAATAATTGGTCCCACTAGGGACAAAAATAGGAACAAAACTATACATTTTTAGGAGCATGAAATGAGTATTTTTAATGAATTTCTTCCACCATATTTTTTCATCCCAATTATTTTTTTCATGTTTTCTACCTGACAATTTCATGAAATCGAAAGAGTAAGACTACAGTATTCCTATAGAGGCAAGCTCACTAATGCCCTCTGCTGTCTGAGAGAAGAATAGCACGATGAACGTATTGTAAGGGGGAAGTGCTTATTGAAATTTCTTTTTCAGGGGGAATCATTTGGCAAGAGTTACGCATTTGGTTTTAAAAAAATATGCTACTATTATCACACTCTTACACATTTTCTGCACAATTTATGATCTGCTTCATAATTTGAAAGACATTTTCTTACTTTATGAAGCAACACAATGTTCTCTGAAAAGGTGTACTCCCTAAAATAAGGCTTGACTAATATAGCACTTCTCTACTGTCTATATGAGATTAAGAACTGAGCAGGGCAGTTAATAGTAAGATATTTTGGAGGTCACTCTTTCACAAGGTCACCATACGTTGTAGGTGACCTGATGACACATAAAAAGAACAATGCTGAACAGGCTGGCTTTGAGTTGCTGTCTCAGACCTGGACCCCTCCACAACTTGTCACATGGGAATAACAATAGTACATGATATTACATGGTGGCTGTAAATTACTGTAAGCTCTTTAGCAGTCATATTGAACCTGGGGTTCAGATAACTCTCTTATATGCCCAACTTGCAATATAACCATGATAGGTGTTACACCTTTCTACAGGAAAAACTTGTGATCTGCAGTGAAAGTAAAACTTTGGTTCTCCAGGGCTTTTTTGTTTGTTTGTTTACAATTTCTATGATCCTTCCCACTAACATTACTGACTGGGGTTTCTGGGAACTGAAACATCTATAGCTCCCCAGTGAAGTTTATTTGTCCTGCTTTACCCTGAGTGCTCACTGGAAGGACAGATCCTGAAGCTGAGGCTCCAATACTTTGGCCATTGCATGAGAAGACTCCCTGGAAAAGACCCTGATGTTGGGAAAGTGTGAAGGCAAGAGGAGAAGGGGACGACAGAGGACGAGATGGTCAGACATTGTCATCGAAACTACCAACATGAATTTGACCCAACTCCTGGAGGCAGTGGAAGACAAGAGGGCCTGGCATTCTCTGGTCCATGGGGTCATGAAGAGTCGGACATGACTTAACGACTAAATGATGACGACCAGAGGAAGAATTGCCATTTTTAGGCAGAGCTTTTCTTTCAAAACAATTTCCCCCCAAAGAAAAGGATTTCATTTTAAAATCTTATGAACATGCAAGTGTGCGGTTATTTTGGAGAAAGAAAAATAAACCATGATATAATTACAATAGTAAAAAATTAATCAACACCCCCCCCCCCAATGAGCCTCTGTCATTCTCCATGAAAGCCAGGCAATCCTTTCTGCAGCCACTTTTAAAATTTGGCCTTTACATTATGTGGTACAAACTTTAGACTTGACGTTTTTAAGTCTTTTGCAAAGTCTCTGACGAGATGTTTCCAAAGAACTAACAGTCCATCTCTCTCAGCATATTGAAATAAAAAAAGGACAGAAAAATATACTGGGGCACTTTAAAGGCTAATCATTTATTCCAATATGGGTTCTGCTGGATCAAAGGAAGTTTCTCAGACACGTATTTTCACGAAACCTCACACGGAAATATAACGCTCAAGCGCGCCAATATGTCTTTACTTTTCTGTTCGTTTCCCTTCTCTTTCGCCTGACAACAAACAGCGGAAGGCGGGCAAGGGCGAAAGGAAGAGACGGCTACTGAGGTACTGATTGACAACGAGAGCAGCCAACCACAAGGAAGCTCTCGTCTTTTCCCTGCGGTTGAGTTATGGTCGCTTCCTGTCCTCCATTTTCCCATCGCCGTCCCTCCTTTTTTTTTTTTTTCGTGCTTCCTGCTCTGGTGTTCCTCGTACCGACCTGAAGGCTGACGGGGAAAACGGGGGAGGAGAGCAGCGCCTCAGAAGTGCCTCCGTGCCGGCAGTCCGGGCGAAGAAGAAGAAGAAAAAGCCCGGGATTGGGAAGCCAAGCATCCCCAGCGGTAGCTGTGAAGGGGAGGCAGGTGAGGAGAGAGAAAGGCTGCTTCTGTCGTATGGCCCCCAGACAGACAGACAGACACACACGCACACAGACACACACACACACAAAAAAGTAACTTAGACGACACGTTACGGAGAGGTGTGAGGCATGCACCCTGAAAAGCGGATAAACGTCATCAGGGGAGAAAACAGGCACTCCTGACCTAAATTTTAGGTTGGAAGGGGTTCCGCTGTCCCCTGGGACCCACCGGCTCGGTATAAGATTTCTGAATGAATGAATGAATGAATGAATTTTAAAATGGTTATTGTTTCCATGCACATCAGCTAGAGCACAGTTTGGTTGTCTCTCCCTCCCCTCTGGCTGCAGAAAGGCCCGTCTTCTGCTTGTGCGAAATTTAGTGCTTGTTGTGTTTTAATGCGGATGACCCGGGACCGATCCAGAGCCAGGTGGCGGAAGGAGGAGGAAGGGAGGGAAATCTGTTACTGCTCCTTTGTATGTTCGGATCCTAATTTTTATCGGATACTCTACTTCTAAGTCAGGAAAAGAAAAAAATGTAGTCGCCACATACCTCTTTAATTGTAATGTGTGGTTACCTGTTTTCTGCTGCTGAAGGAGTGAGGGCTGCTGGATTGAACAATAGGAAGAAAGGGAGATGGACTTATGTGTAATGGAAGGCTGTGTTCTTTTGTGAATAGCCAGATCTACCTGGGGGTAATCCCATTGCTTACAGGATAATTATTTCTACATGGATATGTTTAGGATTAAATTGTAAATATTTCTGCACATTATGTAGAAGATTGTGCCGTTGGCTTCTAGGTAATCTAAGGTGCTAGCCAAATCTCCTTTTTAAAGTTAATTGCTGCAATTTATTTGTATTTTATTCATGTATAATTTGTGCCCCCCAAAAGACTTTCATTCATAAAATAAATAATTCATTTTAACACCTATGTATTTTTTAATAAATTAGCTAGCATGTGAGTTGAAGATTATTAGTAATTTTTTCCATTACCCAACAGTAATGTTGGGGGGGTGCATATCACAGCTGGTTTAAAAATAACCAGTTCTTTCTTAACTTTTAGATACATTTCTGCCTAATTGTGGATGTTAAAAATAATAGTGTTACATTTACAGGAAGTGTACAAATATTATACTAACTCTGTACTTTAAATTTTTCTTTCTCCAGTGATTTGATCTCCTACAATGACTGAACCTCAGCAAGTGAGTGCCCTTCCTCCACCTCCAATGCAGTATATTAAAGAATATACTGATGAAAATATTCGAAAGGGTATTGCCCCAAAGCCTCCACCACCTATTAAAGATAGCTATATGATGTTTGGAAATCAGTTCCAATGTGACGATCTAATTATTCGGCCATTGGAAAGCCAAGGTATTGAGCGCTTGCATCCCATGCAGTTTGACCATAAGAAAGAACTAAGGAGACTCAACATGTCTATTCTTATCAACTTCTTGGATCTCTTAGATATTTTAATAAGAAGCCCTGGCAGCATAAAACGGGAGGAGAAACTGGAAGATTTAAAATTGCTGTTTGTCCATGTGCATCATCTTATAAATGAGTATCGACCACATCAAGCAAGAGAGACACTGAGAGTCATGATGGAAGTACAGAAGCGTCAGCGTCTAGAAACTGCAGAAAGGTTCCAGAAGCATTTAGAGCGAGTTGTTGAAATGATCCAGAATTGTCTGGCCTCACTGCCTGATGATTTGCCTCACTCTGATGGAGGGGTGAGAGTAAAAACTGAATCCATGGACCCTGAGGACAATATAAATTGTATTGGACAGAGTGAGCAACAGAGAGCATGTTCTAGTGTGAAGAAGGATCAAGTCTTAGATAAGGATGCCATCCTGAGTAGCATGATTGATGAAATGACATGAAAAAGCCTTTTGAGAGTCCATTTGTGTTGTTAATAAACAATAGAGAGCAAAAACTGATGATAAAAATATTGGGATGTGTTTTTCCTCCCTTTCTTTTGATGGTAATTCTTAATTATCATGGAATATGTTCTGTAAGAGTCAGGATGCTCTGATTATATTTGTACCTTTTCCGAATGTATTATGTTACATCAGTATGGCTTTAAAGAAAAGTTAGTAGATTATTTTATTTTTCAGGAATATGTTGCCTTTATACAGTAGGACCTCTTTATCTGTGGGGCATCGGTTCCATGATCTACTGTGAATGCCTGAAACTGCAGACACAAGGGAACATGCAAGGGGCTAGGACAAAGGCCACAAGGAGATGCCCTTGTGTGTTGTATATAGGGCTGTGGCCAACCGCAAATAAATAAACTTGAGGATACAGGAGTCCTACTGTAATTGGACCCCTGTATCCTCAAGTTTTCTTATCTGCGGTTGGCCACAGCCCTATATTTCACTGATTTTTTGTCACTGATTTTTTTATATTAATGGAAAGCTTCTCAAGGAATTTAAATGTATGATGATTTCTAAAGTAACACATACCTAAATATCTGTTATAAGTGAATGCATTTAAAATACTTGTTTGATAACACTCCCCTGAATCAAACTAGCTTTCTGCTATTCAGGATTAACTCTTTTTCGTTTATTGTGTGAAGTTTATGTTTTAGTGTAAAGCACCTGTCCAATTACCTGTCTTTCTCTTGGAGCTAGAAGGCTGGCTTAAACTTGATCACGATAGACTGTAGCAGTGATGGTTTCGCATTAGTGGAAATTGCACTTATATGAGTTTGGGCATTTAAGTTCTGATTCTCCCTATCACATAGCTCTTTGTGGCATATTCAGTACTGATTTTGATGATCTCTCAACCATAGGAACAATTTCATATAAGAGTAGGATGTAAATATGAGATTCTCTTATTTGCAGAAGAGTTAGCCCTTTCTGCTAGTACATGGCCATCAGTGATAGAATCAAATATCTAACATTGCAAATGGGAACTGGGATGTTAAGCCAGCAGTTAAGTGTGCATGACAGTTCTGTGACTACAGATTGTGAATGATGCGTGAAAAAATGGTTTCATTAACACATGGATCACCACTTTCAAACAGTGTTTATCAGCTATCCACCTTTTGACTGCCCCTTTGCCTCGAGAATTAAATTAGTTTGTTTCTTGTCTAGCACACATTACTCTTTTATCCTTTATGCTGGATTATTCAGTGGGTTTGTGTTTAATGATGTGTTTTGTGTCATTTAGGAAACAATTTTTCTTTGTACGAAATAAAGAATTTGCAGTATGCATGCATTCGTTCGTTCGTTTAGTCGTTTAGTCATGTCCGACTCTTCGTGACCCCATGGACCAGAGCACGCCAGGCCCTCCTATCTTCCACTGCCTCCCGGAGTTGGGTCAGATTCATGTTGGTTGCTTCGGTGACAGTGTCCAGCCATCTCATCCTCTGTCGTCCCCTTCTCCTCTTGCCTTCACACTTTCCCAACATTAAGGTCTTTTCCAGGGAATCCTCTCTTCTCATGAGATGGCCAAAGTATTGGAGCCTCAGCTTCAGGATCTGTCCTTCCAGTGAGCACTCAGGGTTGATTTCCTTTAGAATTGATGGGTTTGTTCTTGCAGTCCAGGGGACTCTCAAGAGTCTCCTCCAACACCACAATTCAAAAGCATCAGTTTTTCAGCAGTCTACCTTTATGGTCCAGCTCTCACTTCTGTACATCACTACAGGAAAAATCATAGCTTTGACTATTAGGACTTGTTGGCAAGGTGATAAACGGTTTTTTAAGATGCTGTCAAGGTTTGTCATCGCTTTCCTCCCAAGAAGCAGGTGTCTTTTAATTTCTTGGCTGCTGTCTCCATCTGCAGTGATCATGGAGCCCAAAAAGGTAAAATCTGTCACTACCTCCATATCTTCCCCTTCTATTTGCCAGGACGTGATGGCACCAGAGGCCATGATCTTAGATTTTTTGATGTTGAGCTTCAGACCGTTTTTTGCACTCTCCTCTTTCACCCTCATTACAAGGTTCTTTAAGTCCTCACTTTCTGCCATCAGAGTGGTATCATCTGCATATCTGAGGTTGTTGATATTTCTTCCAGCAATCTTAATTCCGGTTTGGGATTCATCCAGTTCAGCCTTTCGCATGATGTATTCTGCATATAAGTTAAATAAGCAGGGAGACAATATACAGCCTTGTTGTACTCCTTTCCCAATTTTGAACCAACAAGTTGTTCCATATCCAGTTCTAACTGTTGCTTCCTGTCTCACATATAGATTTCTCAGGAGATAGATAAGCTGATCAGGCACTCCCATTTCTTTAATAACTTGCCATAGTTTGCTGTGGTCTACACAGTCAAAGGCTTTTGCATAGTCAATGAAGCAGAAGTAGATGTTTTTTTCTGGAACTCTCTGGATTTCTCCATAATCCAGCACATATTAGCAATTTGGTCCCTAGTTCCTCTGCCCCTTCGGAATCCAGCTTGTACCTCTGGATACACATGAGTACCCAGCTTGCTGGGGGGGCAATGTGTAGCCTATATAATTAAAATTGTAAACCGCCCGGAGAGTGCTTGTAGTGCTATGGGGTGGTATATAAGTCAAATAAATAAATAAATAAAATAAATAACTTTGCTAGCATGTGAAATGAGTGCAATTGTGCGGTAGTTGGAGCATTCTTTGGCACTGCCCTTCTTTGGGATTGGGATGTAGACTGATCTTTTCCAATCCTCTAGCCACGGCTGGGTTTTCCATCTGATCTAGCCCAGCAGTTCCAAAGGCGTGCTTCAGCATGACAGCAAACAGTACAATGTATATGAACCAGTATGCGTGCAATCCCTCCACGGCTGAGATACTTAGTGGGGCCAGTTTGGGGGGCAGACCTAGGAGCCTGAAAATGTGCCTTTTCCAGTCCGGACACATCCTCTGACTTCCTCTTTTCCTGCCTCTCTAATATGAGAGTGAAATCAGGCGCAGGATTTCCAAGGCTGGACCTCTTTCTTGGTCCTCACAGGGAGAAGTCCATTACAGTGGGATCTTGACTTGAGAACTTAATCCGTATTGGAAGGCGGTTCTCAAGTCAAAAAGTCTGTATGTCAAGTCTCCATTGACCTACAGTGCATTGAAAACCGATTAATCCCGTAACAGGCCGTTTTTGTTCCATTTTGGTTTTTTTCTGGTCTGTAAGTCAAATCTCAGCAACCTGTTCTCCCTGGGATGCCGTCCTTAGGATTCAGGACTGCAGAGTTAGACATGTGGTTGTTTGTTTTTAATGAACAGGGGAAACTGATCACATTTGGCATTTACCACTTGTAATCTTTTCTGTCCTTTAAGAGGAAGAAGAAGTTGCAAACGATTGTATCAGCAAAACGTATAAATACCACTCTTCTTCTGTAGTCATCAGCATGCGGTTTCTTTTTTTTCTTTGTTGGGGATGTGGTCACACCAGCCTCTAAAAACTAGACAGAAATTAATATAAATGGTTCAGGGAATCTATATGTAAAAGAGCTTGTGTTTAGGGCCTTCGTGAGACACAAGATTCTATATCTGGAAGCTGTACACCCATAAAGGGAAAAGCCATGTCTGTTTTTTCAGATACAGGCTTGTCCGTGTCCATATTTAGCTAACTAGTGTTCCCCCCCCACCCCCAGTTGATCATTAGGAGATGGCCTGACATTGTTTAACGCTTGGTGTTTCAAGCACAATGTAGATGTCTAGAGGAATAGCAGGTAAGAAACTACATAACATGTGGTAACAATTTAAGAAAATATTGTCACATACAGCACTGATGTTACCTGTCTGTCATGGGTTTGGAGGGAAAGTTCCATCCTATGGGGGAGTGGAAGGCGGGACATCAGGGGGGAGGAGCTGTACTGTATATATTTGGGGGAAGTCCTTCGTAAGGGAGCTGACGTGGAAAAGTGGAGTTGGAGTCTGTGGGTCAGACTGGGTACAACTGTTCGTCAGATAGTACATACCTGATAGGTTCAGGTTTCTATCTAGGTAGCCAGAACGGATAAGTTCAGGGTCTGTGCGTTACCTTAAAGTGTTCTCAGATACAGGCTTGTCCGTGTCCATATTTAGCTAACTAGTGTTCCCCCCCCACCCCCAGTTGATCATTAGGAGATGGCCTGACATTGTTTAATGCCTGGTGTTTCAAGCACAATTTCACTGAAAAATGTAGATGTCTAGAGGAATAGCAGGTAAGAAACTACATAACATGTGGTAACAATTTAAGAAAATATTGTCACATACAGCACTGATGTTACCTGTCTGTCATGGGTTTGGAGGGAAAGTTCCATCCTATGGGGGAGTGGAAGGCGGGACATCAGGGGGGAGGAGCTGTACTGTATATATTTGGGGGAAGTCCTTCGTAAGGGAGCTGACGTGGAAAAGTGGAGTTGGAGTCTGTGGGTCAGACTGGGTACAACTGTTCGTCAGATAGTACATACCTGATAGGTTCAGGTTTCTATCTAGGTAGCCAGAACGGATAAGTTCAGGGTCTGTGCGTTACTCATTATTCTGTAGGGAGATGTTGCTGAATGAACCAGTGCAACAAATTATGAATAAACAAGAACTTTTTTCATTTGCAGAGTTATGTGCTATTGATGCTGATTTTTAAATTTCTTCTTGTTTAAGAAGAATTTTAAGCATTTCATAACTGAATTTACCAACAGATTATTTAGTGTCACGTATTTATTTTTTAATTTAAGTAGAGCCTGCCATCTTGGTGAGAAGAAAAAAGTTATTTGACATTTATTGCACTCTACCCTGTTTACCCGAAAATAAGACCTACCCCAAAAATAAGCCCTAGTTAAGTGAAACCCTGCCTTCCACCATTTCATGAAATATCTTTACCTGAAGTAGGTGCAGTAGTTCTTTCTGCTTGTTTCAATTTTGGGGTGGGCAATACCTTCATTCTGTTATTTGTTCTGCATTAGACCTCTCATAGTTTTTAGTGGTGACCAAAGATGAAAAACTCTCCATTTAACTCTGCCACACAGCTAACAGAAGAAGAAGAAGAAGAAGAAGAAGAAGAAGAAGAAGAAGAAGAAGAAGAAGAAGAAGAAGAAGAGGAGGAGGAGG